ACGTTTCCGTCGCAGGCATCACCGGCGAACGCACCGAGTTGCCGCCTGATATCGTCGACAACGTCAAGTGGCTCAAAAGCCAAACCGATCTGCCGATTTGCATTGGTTTCGGAATCAACAAACCGGAACATGTCCATATGCTGAAGGAAGCATGCGACGGCGTCATCGTCGGTTCGGCCATCGTCCGCCGTCTCTGCGAAGCGGAAAGCAAGCCCAAGGACGAAGTCATTCAGGAAGTAGGCGACTACGCAGACTCACTTCTCGATGCCCTCAATGGCTAGGCCATTCCGCGTTTCGGTACCATGCCGTCGTCCGCTTCGGCATGCTTACCTGGGAGTATTCTCGCCATTCCGCGATTGGGCTTCTGAAATCAAAAGCTACCCTCTGGCAGTTTCCGAGCTACAATTGTATTAGGCAAATTACTGAACTTGACTCAGACTATTAGCCGAAATTAATGTAGCTTTAGTGCGTTTGCGAGCCGAAGGCCATCCGGCACGACGCTTGCAATCTTGCCCCATCATGCGTGTGGAAACGACTTCACCCTTCGGGCAACGACGATACCACCAATGCGGCATCGCTTGGCGTACAAGCCAAGAGCCTGACGGGTTTTGCTGACCGACATCAAACGTACGGGAGGGGAACCATCTATGCATGCCGACCATGACAGCACACCGATGCACCGCTTCTTTGCAGGCATCACCGAGCAAACGTTCCAAGCCAAGCTGGGCGTTCCGGATACCGATTTGATCGACTACCTGACCGGATTGTTGATGCGATTCGTACGCAGCGACATGGTCTTCAAAGTTCGCAGCCTGACCGGTCGTCCATTGACCGAAGTGGCCGATATGCTGATCGAAGCCGAGGCGCGAATCGGCGAGGCAAAACGATCTGTCCACCATCACGTGGGGGACTTCCTTTTGTTCTGGAGCGGTGTTTACCCGGAAAGTCTCGCCAGGATGCAGAAGGCGGATCGAAAAGATCACCTGCTCAATTACTGGGTTGTCGGCAAACAGGCCTACTCGAAAGCGAGCGAACTGTCTGCCGAGGAGCACTCCGAGAGCGAAGCGGAACTGCTCAGCAAACTAAGCCACGAGTTCGAATTGTGTGCTTACGGACTGGGCGAAGTTCGCCGCGAATGGGAACGCCGCGATCAGCAAGGCGATTCCCCGCAGATCATCGTCATGTAAGTCGACGACGACGGCCTAATCGCGGCGTTCGTCGTGAAGTATCTGATCGATGACGATGCACGCGCAAAGAATCGTGACATCGTCTTCCTCGGAAATGGTTTCGACGCCGTAGGTGTCGTTCCATGTCCAAAACGGCTTAGAGACATCGGCGACCATCTGTCCTTTTCTCTTGAACTGATAATCGTGCAGCCAGAAACTGCCGTCGATGGTGTAGTCGTTCGGGCCAGGCACATCGAGCGTAAACTTCTGGTTCAGCCAGGTAAACTCTTTGTGCATCTCGGCGAACAGTTTTCCGCCGTGATAAATCTCGTAGCACGGCATGAACGACAACAGTCGCTGTTTGATGTAGGCAAGTTCTCGCCCTTGCATGTCGCAAAAAGCGAGCTGATCCCCCCACGAAAAGACTTTCCCTTTGATCTCGTAGATCGGATCCTGGTGTTCGTTG